ATAGGTGGCCCTAGTAGGTCATCTGAGTGTCAAAGATAGGGTCCAGAACCTGGGGGGCTTTGCCTTGACAGCTTGCTGCTACCTGCTTTGGGTTTCTGTGGCACATGGGGGTGGGGACCTCTTCATGTAGCCCTAGGTGATAACACAGCCTTAATCCATGACTGCATCCAGCTGGAGCCTGGGGTCAAATGCTCCTCAGCTGGGCCTAGACTGATTACAAGCTTGTTCTGAACATGCCTCCCCAGTTGGGCCCGCAGGAAACTAGGAAGAAGGGTCACCTAATGTATGACTCATGATCGGGCTTAGGCATGAGAAAGAAGCCCACTACTATGATAACTGTGGCGGGCCAGTAGGGGGAGCTCCTGTGTTGGGCCTCCCACCTCACTACACCCGTCCACCTTCCGGACTTCACGTGTCTGTCCAGGGGCGCCTAAGCCCTGGCAGATCCCCTTTCAAACCCCACCGCAGAGTCCGGGGGTAATGTGTGCTGCCACCACCTTGAGAAGGGACTCTCTGGGTCCTGTGTCCTCGAGGAAACACAGGCCTAATAGTCCTATGGGTACTCGACCCAATACAAGAACTTGGGAAACTTCCCCAAGTCGGGAGCCAAAAAGGATAGTCTCCCTTAGTCCGCAGACCCAAGGGGCCTCCTAGGCGTAATTAAACCCAACCCTCAATAAGTCTTCTACAACAGTCACAAAGGAGAACTTTATTGCTTCCGACAGGATGAGGTAGGATAGGGTAAGAGGTAGAGCACTATCAAGGGATTACCATTGAGCAAAACAGTCTGGCTGAGGTAGCCATTTGATATGTAAATGCATCACCGTGAGCTGACTAGCTCTCTAGAAACACTTACAAGTATCATTCAGAAGATGGTAGAGATCTGGCTCGGAGATTTCCAGAGAGAGAGAGTGTTTCAGATGGATCAGACTCTCCCTGTGTCCTGATGCTTTGGCCATGCTGGAAAAATGGCTTCCCCTCCTTCTTCTTGGACCAGGCCCGTATATAGCCTCCCTGACCTCAGCAGCCCAGTCCAATAGAAGCCAGCAGTGTTGGCAACTAGCCAACCCATTTAAAAAGCATCACTGGTTACCTGGGCAGATGAGCAGGGGCTTTTCCCTCCCCCCACTCAGGTGACCAGAGGGACCACACCCTAGGCACCAGGCTTTTGTCACATAGGCAGGGAGGAAAAGCCCCCCTCCCTTAGGAATTCGACCCCAGTGTCCCAAGCTGACTGGGACAGATTTCTGGAGAGAGATTCAGACGGTGGCATTTCTTCCACAATGACCATTTCTTTTTACCTCATCTCATAGTGGGGCACTACTCCCTCTTCCCCCACCCTCCAGCATACTCAGCTGTCTCCATTCTCTGATCATAGATAAACACACCAAAGAGCAGAAGCAAAGAGAGGGACTGAAGGGACAGTCCCATTTTTGCCCAGTGAGTCCATTTTTGAATGCCTGTTCCAGGATCCCTCTGAAAATTGGGCAACTGTGTTCAGTAGACCGAACTTATGGGACAGGTGTTAAAAAAGAGACTGTACCAGTGGAAACAGGATGTCACCATACCCAAGGCTCTCAGCCCTGTAAGATGGTGATAGCTTTGTACTTGCAGGAGAACTCTGTGTACGTTACTTTACAGAAGAAGACAGCATCTCAGGAAACAAAGGCTGAGGTTTTGTGGATTGGTCACTTGGATTTATCCACTCAAATTCTGCCTCAGTCCCACAATAATCACATCAGTGATTTGCATATCAGAGCCTAAAGTTCTGTCAGAGAACAGCTTGACAGTATGTCAGCTTCTACATAGGAGTTCATTTACATTGATGTGTGTTTTTCTTTCCCTCACGGGAGCTA